CGTTTTATTTCCGTTTGCGAGTGGGATTGCACAGTGGATGCAGTGTGTGGTTTTCTCTCCGCTCTCCTCAGCCATGTTGTGGGAGTTCAGTGCCGTATCCCTCAGCATTCGGATGGACTGCAGTGCTTCTGCCTCGTGCTGTTCATCACTAGCTGCAGATGCTCTTTCCCATGCTAAGATGCTGATTTTGCTCACTCCTCAATCCCAAAAATCTCTTTGTCTCTGGGGCTTGTGTCCCCCATGCCCCTCCCCAGGCCCAGCGTGGGGACTTGCTGCGTGTGCTGTGGGTGCATCACGAGTCTGCAACATCATCTGTGCTCAGCCAGAAGAATCTTCTCCTCTCTTTCCATCTCTTTTTTTTTTAAACTTGTGCAGGGATACAGCATTGGCAGGCTAGCGAGAAGGCAACTTCACCAGTACTCTCTTTAATTGAATTACTTTTCTCAATGATTGAAGATTATACAGAGTTTAGCAGTTTTAAATATGCTAATCTTTGCTAAAAAGGCAGGGAGAGCTCTGTGCTGAGGGATTAGATAGAGCTATTGTGTGTGTGGAAGTATGTTTCTTACTGCCTTTCATCTGGTTTTATCAGGTGATTTTCATCAATCTTAATACATCAAGTTTAAGGAATTCTGATTTCTGGGTCACATCAGGGAGTGGACACATCACCTACATTGGAGTAACTTGCAGTAAATATGACACATATTCAAATACGGATAACCTCTTAAGTTCTGCTTTGCATAGGAACACCTCTACTTCTTAATACATTGATTTTTTTCTTTTTTTGATTGAGATGCTGAAGTACTGCAACAAATATTTGTTCATCACATGAGTTTCTACCGCAGCTTTCATTGGCGAGCAGGTCTGAAGGGCACCGACATGTACAGAAAGCAAAAGAACTCCCTGTTTTCTCTATGTGCTACTGTTTCTGCATAAGATATTGAAGGAAATTAAAACTAGTTGCACTTTGGTTTCTTTTTAATCAGGAGACAGAGAGATTTTTAATATTGAAAACCCACTGATAAGTGCGGTGTAATAACTTCTGAAATGTAACTGTTTGGAAGGCACTAATGAGCTGTTCTGTTGCATAACGATGTTGGTACAGGCACTGCTGAGCAGTGTGATGTGTCTCGTTAGATAACTGGGGAGCTGCAGGTGCTTCATGTGTGACATGAGGCTGGTGTAGCACTGCTCACAGTAGGCACAGACCCATCTCTGTGCTGCCTAAAACTCCATTGTTTCTGAGGAATTCTCAGCTTCACAAACTCCAGAGAGCTGTCACCTTGTTGCACTCGTGGTTTAAAGGCTTATCCCATCCCCTCTCAGTAATTTCCTAACATTGTGGTTTTCCTGTGGCTGGGCCTTCAGATATTTGGGGTTCTCTTTGGGCTGTATGAATTTTCCATGACTTTCTCAACTTGAGCTTCACATCTGGGAGTGGAATATTAGCAATGCATCCCAACAAAAAGGAGCTCAGGCAGGAACACCAGGATGCCTGCGTGGATGAACAAGGAGCTCCTGGACAACCTCAAATGCAAAATGGAAGCCTGGAAGGGTGGAAGTGGGGACAGGCAGCCTGGGAGGAATGCAAAGAAATTGTCTGAGCAGCCAGAGATCAGGTTAGGAAACCCAAAGCTCTGATAGAATTAAATCTGGCCAGTCATCAGGGGCAACAAGAAAAGCTTCTGTAGCCATAAAAGAAGACCAGGATAAGTGTAGGGTCCAGAAGGAAGGAAACAGGAGACCTGGTTACCCAGGATATGGAGAAGGCTGAGGCACTCAGTGACTTTCTTTGCCTCAGTCTTCACCTGTGTTCTCCAGGGGTCAGTTGTAGGATCAGCACTGTTGAACATCTTCCTTGGTGACAGGTCCCTTCCCACCCAGTCTATTCCGGGATTCTTTCATAGTGCAATGTGCTTCGTGTCTCATCCTTCCTCGCTGTCCTAAAGATCTTGAACTCCACCATTTCTCTTCTTTCTCTTCTCCATCGCTGAGAAATCCCTCCCTACAGCATCGTGTGGAAGAAGCACAGAGAAAAAGACATCAGTGTTTTGTGGTGCCTGTTCTCACGTTGCCTTTTGATCCCTGTCTATTTGTGGAAGCGTCTGAAGGAGCTGTGTCTGTTCTTGAAAGAAGGAATAGCTGTGCCTTTCTGAACTCTGCTGTGCTTTTCTCCCTGCATCCTAGAAATGATCTGTGATTTGGAAGGAAATGATCATCTTTTTCCTTGATGTGACATAATAGATTTTGTATCTGCAGCTCTTGGGGTGGTGGTGGTGGTGATACCTGGCACTGGATCCAGGTTCTGCAAAGCAGATATCTGAAAGCTTTTGCTGAAGCTGTAAGTGGGACTAATGGAGAAACAAAGGCAGGGAAGCTCATCTGAGCCCACCTTAGCAGATGATGTGGCAATTGGGAATTATCAGAGCCAACAGCCATTTCTTTCAGCTTCAGTGATGGTTAGAAATCTGTCTTCTGTAATCAGTCTGTGAGGAAATAGCTGCCTTTTAGTTACCTGCTAATTTAGTCCAGATGTTTAAAGGCATTTTGTTGTGTTCATGCATATACAAGTACCTGTTGTGTACACTAATGATTATAAAACCCCAAACCAACCAACCAAAAGAAGCCAGCTAAACCCTTCACTGCTTTGAAATGTGGCTCAGAAAAGCCCACACGTTGTTGCTTCGACATGAACACCATCAGATTTTTCAAGTCAACCTCCAGAATTTGCCTGTAACCTGTAAGAACAGTAACCTCGTGACACATGAATGTTTCTGAACAGGTATGGGAATGCTGATGCATCTCTCCCAGTATGGAACAGGGAAAAGACCTCTGAGATCATTGGGTCCAACCCTTGGCTGATCAAGGACTTGATGATCTTGGAGGTCTTTTCCAACCTGGATGCTCCTGAGCTTCTGTAAAAGCACTATTTTGAAAATTAACAGATACCATCAAAATTATGATGGGTTTGACACGTTAATATAAATTATTTATGGAAGTAGTTTAAATAAAAAATGTGTGTCTTGGCAAACAAAGAGCAGCCAAAATGTGGACTTGCAGTGAAAGTTGAATTTTTCAGATCTCTTTGCTTGATTTATTTACTGAGCTCACACAAAGTTGAAAAGCTAAATGAATTCTTTGTTTTCCCCTCAGCATAAACCAAACTCTTCTGGCTCTAATGTAATGAAAGGCCCAGAGACAGTGAACAATTCCATCAGTTACTGTATGTCAGATATTTTCCTGTTATGTTCAAACCGTGTTCTGGAATATTTGAGTGATATTAGCTGGAAAAAAAAGACTTTTTTGTGTGCCTCAGTGCTGTTTAACTCTTATCTAAATGAAGCCTAGTGCATCCCCCCCCCCCAAAAAAAAATCTGGGAAGCAACTATTGTGTGAAAATAAATGTAAATAAATTTGACTTCTTAGGGTGAGGGTGTAACTTGTCTGTTTCTGTCCCTGGTTTGTGTGTCCTTTCTGCTGGCCCCTGTACACCAGGATGGGCACATGCTGATGTCACATGTCACCTGCTGCCCTTTGAACGAGCAGGGATTTTGGGGCTCACTTGGAAGAGTCTCTGTGCCTTGGGTAGCTGCCAGTATCCCCTGGAGATGCCACCCAGCTATTCCGAGATTTCACAGGCTCGTAGTGTTCTCTCGTCCAGACATGTGTAGGTGTTACCAACACACAGAATTAAGGCTTTGCTTTAACTCTAAAGCACAGAATTGAAAGAGTTGGGAAGAAATACTGGAGCAATACTGGTTAGCAGTGTTTTGTCTTCAGACATGGCCAGAACCTGGAAGGGGAAGCTAAACCTGCTAATGAGAAAATGTCTTAACTTTCAGTTGGTCTTTTCTCTGTCTTGAATTGTGACCCTTTAAACCTCTGTACTATTAACATTTACACCATATAGATGAGTGCCATTTATCCTGCTAAGTGACTTTCCTTTAATGGTTTGCTTCTTCAGGAGCAATCAGCAATTGCTGCAGAAAAAACCAACCCGCTCCAGCATTTCTGTAATTAATGCAGGGGCCAGTTTATTCCATTCCACTAAATGCTTCCTGCTGTGCTTCCTGTCCATGCCCCTGTCTAGGTTTGAGTTACAGCAAGTTAATTTTCATAATGTTCTTGATATGTGCAACACAAAGAGAAGGGGGATTAAAGCTGGAATAGATAAATGTGTGACTAAAAGGAGAGGGGTCCTTGCATCCGTGGCAAAGCTCCAAGCAGTGGCTGATGCAGGATTGGCAAGTGTGGGCTTGGCCAAGGGGTGTAGGTAGCTGCTGCTGGAGTTGGGAAAAGAGAATTCCTGTTAACAAGTTGGGACTTCAGTCCTGCAGAGGCTCTGGAGCTGCACAGGAGTGGTCAGACAGCACTGGATTAATGTGAGTGCAGGAGTTTCTCTGCAGCTTCCTTTTTATAATGGAGATGTTAGATTTCTGGGACTACAAAATATTCACTCGTTCCTGTCCTACTCTGCTGGTACAGAATTGACTGTGAGAACCCTTGGTGTCAGTGACAGGAGGGTTTTTTTGAATGGCCTAATTAAAGGAAGTCTTAGTAGAGCATTATGTGTTGGCTGGGTGATGGAATCATCCATGGATCCATGGATGTCTGAGTGGTGGAGGAGATGGAGAACATTCTCTTTGGAAAGAAGTTCTGACTCCTGTCTGACTTTCCTCGGCAGCAGCAGGCAGGTCTTCATGCTAGAGGTTTGCTGCCTTCTTTGTCTTGTCTACAGTACCTCATTTTCTTTTCCCCCCTTTCCCTTACTTGCTTCTGGAGCAGCTTTTGGGCATTTTGTCCTTGGCTCACTCAAAATGGCTGAAAAGTCACTTGTGTCCACGTAAAACCCAGGATGGCTTTCCTCAAGCTGAGCTGGTGCTGCTGGTTGGGATAAAGCCAGAGGTGAATCCTTCAGGAGAACAGCTGGACACAGCTGGAGGAGGGGCTGATGGCTGAAGACAGTTGGGAGTATCATGACAAGGAAATCCCAACCTTTTTTTTTTCCCGACCTTGGAATGCTTTACAAAGAGATTTTCACAGGGTTTGTCTGTTCCAGCCTCTCATTGCCAGACTCATTCACCAGTTCTTGTAATTTCTTCTCAGCTTTTCCAGCTGCCTCTCAATATTCAATATTTATGAATTCAAATCATAATTATGTTCCTATTCTTTTTGTTCTTCCAGCTTCCCATTTTTCTTCCCTAGCTGAGTTATCTGGTATTTTTTACTGGGCAAGCATCAGAGTAGCTTTTATCCACCACTGTACAATCGTGACCATAATTCTCTTTCACTTTTTTTTTTTTTTTTTATTTTTAGTTGCTCTTAAACCACAATGTGACTTGGAGAAGAGAATGGGGTTTTTTTCCCTGACATTGCATAAACAGGAGGCAGATCAAACACTCACGTCCCATAAAATTGACCTCTTTATTTGGATGCTGTAGTGCAACAGCAGACTTGAAAAAGGCTTTTCCCAGTGAAAAAGGCTTTTCCAATCTTGACTCATCAGCTGGTTTGGTGTTAAAATATTTCCCCCCTCTGTTGTGAAATGCAAAGGGCTCATAGGTTGCCTCCGATTTTAGGCTTGGTGGACTCTGTACTGTCACAGTCAGTAATTTACAGTTAAAAATAAATTCCTTGGCCTTAGGAATTTTACATTTTCACTTAAAAAATGCAAGAGAGGTTTTAGGAAACTCAAAAGGAGCCTTGTTTCAATTACTACATGTGGAGAAAGGATAGTGCAGGAGGGAATCTTCCCCAATGACTTGCAGCTGTACTGATTACCAAGGAATGGAAATATCTGTGCCTGGCCAATCTGTTTAGAGGATATAAAGGAGTGGGTTACAGGCACTCTCGTGTGGAGGCTGCTGGCTGTGCTGTGAGGAGCTAAGGGACAGGTAATATAAGAAGAAATGGTGTGTATGAGGGACAGTCAGGGTGAGGTGGCTGGGAAAGGGACAGATTGGGGTGAGCCAGTCATGCAGAATGAAAGAAGGAGTCAGAGCTACCTATGTGGAACTGCCTGTAAGAAAAGGAATCAGTACAATGTGAACCTGCCAATAAAAGGAGGAGTCAGAGTTATAACAGAGAGGTCTATAAGAGAAAAAGTCAGAGTTATATGAGAAAAAGGTCTGTAAAGGAAAACGTGTAAGAGTTTGCAAATAAAGACTGGTGGGAATGAAAGGGCTGGTGGTGATAGCAGCCCTGTTCATCTCGGCTAAGGTGGGACAGCTACACATTGCCTCCAGTAAATCCTGCCATCTAGAGAAAAATTTCCCTGGAGGATTGCATGGCTGATGTCTTAAATGGTTGTTTAGTCTGCACAAGCCTTGCACAGCTGAGAGTGAGGCTGAGATTTGAGATCTGGCTTTGCCTGCCTGCTTTCAGATCCCAGGAAGAGCAAAGGCTTTTTAGCTTTACCTTTTGGAAACTGGAGGAGGGGAAGAAGTGTCCTAAATGAGATGTTTTTAAGATGGCTCCAAACAGCTCTGTGCTTTCCTTGGATTTGATGCTTCTCAGCTGCTTGCCTAAAAACCCGAGTCCAGAGCCAGCCCTGGGGTGCACTTAAAGCTGGTTTTAGGTAGGGCAGCCTGAAGACCCCAAAGTATTTTCTATGTGTGTTTATACAAGGAATTGCTCCAGCTAGATACAAGTCTTAGAGAATAAATATTATAATTAAATAGGAACTTTAACTAGTATATGTCCTTAATATGAAGGAACTGTTCTTCTGGAAGGTACTGCTGGAAGAGAGTATTTATTTCAAGATACTGTATCCCAGTTGGAGTGTATATAATTCCTGTCTGAAGAATTTTCTGCTCCAAACCCACTTGCTCATATAAACACTTTTCTTTTCTGTAGTTGAATCCCACAATTCCTTCTGGAATATCCATTCATCTAGAAAAAATCAGAATAAAACACCGGCAGAACTTGTTCCATTTACTGTTTGGAACCAAATTTCTACCTCTTAAAGACTAGCTATTTTTGTTTTTGAAGTTGATATAGATGAATATCAGACCTGTGAACCTGAAGGGTTTGTGGACCCTTCAGGCTCCGTGGCCTCTTCCCAAGGCACTTGTGAAGCACAGCTGGGAAGGAACAATTTTATTGTCAGCTGGCTGGAACTCTGTATGGAGAGGTCAGTGTCTCAGTCAGGAAGAAGCTAGAGGAAAAGCTTCCCACTGAAAAGTTGGGAATTGATGTAATGGATTAACGTCCTTTAAGCTTGGAGTTGTTAATTGGCAGTGCAGGCAGCAGGAGCATCGAGTGTCTGATGGCCTCTGTCCTGTTCCCAGGAGAAGAGCTGGGGCAGCTCAGAAGCAGCAGGTATGAAGGAGAAAAGGATGGTGTGGTGTCAGGATATCCTTCCCTTGAATCCTTAATGCCAGGGATTTGTAGCCGTGTGCTGCCTGGACCCACACGGGTGTCTGAGCTGTGCTGGTTTCAGTTTCTACACGGTTTGAGTTTCTGTTGCTAAAAACCAAATTGTGGTTGGGTTTATTTTTGGTGCAAACCCGCAGGATTCTGTGCTGCCCTGGTGTCGATGTCCTGTATTTTAGAGCAGCTGTTTTCTCTCTGCCTGGCTGGGGAGTTGCATCACATGCACAGAGGCGTGTGTGTCGGTGCAGCTTGGGTTATTTATTTTCACAGCAGTCCCCAGGTGTTCTCCACAGCCATCCCTGTCAGCTCGGATCAGCAGATGCCTGGAGGAGAGCTGTGCTTAATGAATGTACTATGGGCAGTTTTTTTTCCTTACAAGTTAAGCCAGGCTGCATCGACCTTAAATCAGGATTATTTTAGGATTTTATCATAACTCGCTCAGGAAGAAACACCTGTGTGTCTGCCTGGAGAATGAGTTTGAGGGAGCTCCTGTGGAAGCTGTTTTGCTCCTCAAGTGTGCAAAGAGCAGACAGGTCTTAATCCTTCCAGGAGATGGTTGTGGGAATAAGATGGAATCACTGAGGAGAATGCTATATGGAGCTCTAGTCCCCTTCTTCCTTTTCTTCTTTTTCTCCTCCTTTTCTTTTCCTTCTTTTCCTTTTCTCTTTCCCCCAGCAGGAAAATTGTCACCACCCTGTGAGAGAACAGAAATTTCTTTGTGGCAGTGCAGGGAGTCAGGAGAAGAGGGAGCAGAAAGAAGTATTTGCTTGTTTTGACAGTGGGATAATGGTGCTGGGGAAACATTAGGGAAAATTTAACTGAGTTAAAGGATGGAGGGAAAGGAAGGGGATGGTAATCCTTTGCATTTTAATAGGTCTCCTGAAACTTCTCTAATTCCTTGCTGGAAATGGCTGACTTAGCAGTGCTTGTTGTGCTTTCAAGGGCAAAATATCTTTGGGAAGAGAGCAGGAGCTTGTTCCAAGGGCTCCATTTGGCACATGATCCAGGGAAGCAATGCCTGGATTCCCTCGGCTGGATGCTGGCATCTGCTGGTTTAGCTTGCATTGGGATAATGCTCAGTGCTCAAAGCAGGGAATGTTTCCCTGCAGAAATGCATCCTCAGGTGGCTGCTCTCTGCTGCCTCTTTCTCTCCTGCCTCAGGAATATCACTGAGGAATGCAGGAGAGTGTTTCCATATTACATGGTGCATTAGCCTATCATTTGCAGTTTATTTAACAAAAGTTACTTTTGGGAAATGTTGTCCTGATTGAGGATTTTAATGCAGATTTTTGTCTAAACTGCCCATGAATATGGTTTATTATGGGAACAAATACTGTGTTAAAGGTATTTAAACCATAAATTCATAATCATGTTTTCCAATATCTGCTTCTTTCCAAAATGGTTTGGTAGCATTTATTTTTTGACTTAAGTTGAGGACTTAAGGTGGCTATAGATCTGGAAATCACTTGAAGGGATCTCCTGTGCTTCAGATGACAGAGGAGCTCTTGGCTCCTTCCCCTTTTGCCCATGTGGAATTTGCACTTCCTAGAACCACTCCTGGCAGAGCAGATCCACCCTTTCAGTGTAATGTCTGTCCGGAGTGGCTTAATTACTTTTGATCTCCCTATGTAGCATTTTATTTCTTTCAAGCCTTTTACAAGCAGATAATTAGGTGTTTAAAAATAAAATACTGGGATGTAAAAATTGGATCTTATAAAAGATTAATTACTGAAGGTCTCCTGGTGGGTTTTTGCTCAGTCCTGCACTGGTTTTTAATGGAAAGTTGGAATAATAGAACCTGGAAGCAGTAGATGCCTCAAAAAAGGATTTCACTCCCAAGGGCTTTAACTGCCATCATATATAAAGTGAATATTGAGCCAGCCTTGCATGACAATAATAAAACTTCAGTACTGGGCTCTGAAACTTGATAGATTTTTGTGCGAGAAGCAAGTGGAATGCAATAGAATAGAATTGAATTGAATTTTTGGAGGTGTCTCTAAAACTATTTAATTTTTCTCTTTGTGCTCACAGCAAAGATGTAATAACCTGAGATAAAGTGGAGTTTTTCTGAGATTTCAACCCAAACACCACAATCCAGAATCAATTCTTTGTCCAAAGATTGAGTTACTAAGACAATGGTAATCTGGAGTGGTGCTATTGGGATTATTGGAGCAGTAAGGAGCAGGCTGTTTTGAGAAGAAGGAACTAGTGAATGTCACCTGACCCCTTGAACTCTTGGTTATGGCTCAGCCCTTCCCACTTGGAGGACTCTGGAATTACAGCCAGGAGACAGCTGTGCAGTACCAGAGTCTGCCAAGCTTTGCCTCAGCATCCGGGTGTCATTTTGGAGCCTGAATTAACTTTTAGTCACTGACTTGCTGGGAATATGAAATACGTTCAATCTTTCTCCTTCCTGGAACTGTTTTCCATGTGCTTCCCTCAGTACCTGTCTGTACTAATGGAGGTGCATAAGATTTGTTCATTCTTTGATTTTTAAACTGAGTCTTGTGAATCCTCTTACTCTGGCTCAGGGGCAGGGAGCCATTCCCAACAAACTGCAGCTGGAATGAAGATGTCACTAGCCTGGATCTAAAACTGTTCCTCCTTTCTTTCCCCAGTCATCCTCCAACTCCTCTGCCTCACAAATATGCTCTTAAATGTGTTTTTCTTCTCACAGAAATGTACTTAGAAGTACCATGTAGCTAAATATTTGGGATAGGATCCAGTCCAGTTGTGGAATATGTCTTCCCAGGGTGAAAAACCCAATGTTTAAAACCAGCGTGAAGAGCCCAAAAGAGGAGACTCTGCAAGAACTGCTGCTGTTCATCACCTTTAGAAAAAATAATTTCTGAGATGAAGGAGCAGCTTCCCAATAACATCTCCTGCATGGAATGTCTTCCTCTTCCCAGTTTGTGCTGCACATGCCAGCTGAGTTGTTGATCAGGTCCACCTGGAATTCCCACAGCTCAGAGCTCCATCTTCCACTCTCTGTGCCTTGCTCCTAAGAAGTTTTGGGTAGAGACTGTGGTCACATGGACTTCTGGACTACTAAATCTTCCTTCTTCCTTAGCTCCCTGGTCATCCACACCTGGTCAGAAGATCCCTGGGATGTGCTTTACAATATTTCCAAGAGCCCCTTTGTGTTACCAGTGTTTATGACTGATGGTTCTGAGCAGTAAAGATAAAGTCCTTTGGAGAATATTTGAAACCTCGTTGGAAACTATTTTAAAAACCTTAACTATGTAAGATATGAAGGAGAGCAAAATCCTCAGGCTACACTGAAAAATATCCTCGTGAGTGTGTAAGTTTTGAAGGTTTTTTTTTCATTCCTGGCAAATAATGAAAGACTGCACAGAAGTCTTTGAAATGCAAAGGTGGCCTGTGAGTACCCTTTAGTTAATTAGCCAAGCTTGAAAACCTGAGTTTATCATCAACAATTCCTGTTCTCTGATTGGTTTTAAACTCATCCACATGGAAGTGAAGGCATCCTAATCTGGATTTCCCTCACAGCCACTGCAGTGTAGTTCTTAACTATCCACTCTGATCTCTGCCTTCCAAAGGGCCCAGAAATGCTGTGACAGCAGGATGGGACACAGCAGGATGCTCATCCCGTCTTTTGGGCTTTCCATGCTTTTGTGACACTTGTCTTGCACCTCTTAGGAGTCAAAACTGCTTGGGACCTTCCCTTCAGGTGCTTTGTCTCATCCCTTATGGCTTGGGCAAAATTGTGTCTCCCCGTTCTTTTGTTTTCCTTATCTGCGCAGTTACTCCAAATCTCGATCCTCTGGTTATCTTATCTTGGGTTTGTTCTTCCTCATTTGAATGAAACCACGTTTACCACACTGTGCAGCAGTTGGCATGTGAAATTCCCATCCTCCTCCTGCTGTTCCCTGTTCCAGGTGTTCACATGCATGTTTCCTTTACCCCATTGCAGCATTTTAGTTTCAGCTCTTCACAGGATTCCAAGGCTCTCCCTCCAAGCTGAATCTCCTACTTTACTTGGCTACAGGAAGTTGAAGACAATTTTGGGTTTCCACACCAGATTAACCTAAATTAAATTAAAATAACCCACCCAGCATTCAGAAATGGGCAGGACTTGATTTCTGCAGACCTCAGTTACTTTGATTAAATACAGCTGAAGGTATTTGCCCCTTCTGTATAAAATGATGGGGGATTCAGCACTCTGTACACGAGAGATGACAGCTGTTCCTCCAACAGAAAACTGGGAGTCTGGCTCCTCACGTGGCACTATGTCACTTCCCAGAGGCTTGGTGTTATCCTGGAGGAGGAGAACTGGGATTGCCTGGAGGTCTTCCACTTGTGACACTTGTTTTGGCTCTGTTGCTTTAAGAAACCTTTAAACTGTGAAAATAGCGCTGGTTATGTTACAGGCTTGGCTTGGAATTCCTCTGCAGAAAACCAGACAAGAGGGTTCATCTTTAGAACATAAGGCGTAGATTTTAAAATCAGCTTTTGTAGCTGTGCTTAGGA